CAGCAGGAGGACTCACCTGAGCTGGAAGGGGACTGGACGTTTGTGGTGCCTGGGATGCAGTGCTGAGTTGCGGCTGTGGTGGAGGTAGGCTGCAGATCTGTGTAGAGAAACAGAAACACAACAGCTGTTTTGTCTTACCATGACAAGAGGGCATGTCCTGCATGGTCAGCCTGCTGTCAAGTATGAAAAGCCCTCTCTTTTTACTCACACAAAGGGAAATGACTGACAATTTTGCCTAGAAAACCAGGCAACAATGCAGAAGAAACAGCCCCAGATCACCTCCAGGAAACCCAGCAATGGCTGCAGAAACACTCTGCACACCTCTTAGGGAAAATGGACTTCAGGAAACGAAGTGGCTGTGGAGAGCAAGGCCCCGACAAGCCCGCCCTGGCTTCAGAGAGTGCTGACAGCTGACAGTCATCAGGAGAGGGAGGACGGTGACCCACTGGACAGAAACACGTGGGGAGACAGGGCAATCCCACTCTGTCAGGAGAGGCTTGGGCAGCGTGCAGGGACTTCAACAGCTTCTGGCAGCAGCATGAGATTTTGCTCCCAACAGAGCAGCCTGTCTCCTGTCCTCACCCTCCTGCCCTCAAGCTGGGCGTCCCTCCAAGTTTGGTCCAGGTGTGATGGAGTGGGGCCAGCTGAAGCCTTTATGGCTGGTTAGGAGCTGGCAAGCAAATTTTGTTTACACCCACTGGGCTACCCCACTGTGGAGATTCTCTGTTCAGTTCTGTAGCAGGAAATGCATTAACCTTAAAAAAGGGAGCTGTGGAAATCCACCCTTCACAAAGAGCAGCTCTCCTTTAACGTCTACAAGAATCAAGTACAGCATGCCCAAAGGCTTCTCCCCGGCCCATGTACAGGCTAAGAGAGGTTCTCTCAACCCACAGATTGCTTGGTGATGGGGTGAAGCTTTCTGGCCTAAAGGGTTTAAAAGCAGGGGGAAAAAAGAGACCTTGGTGCTGTAAGCCCAAGCCTTTTCCTGCTGTGCTTTTTTCCTGCCCACAATAAAGAAGGGGTCACTGTACAAGCTGTTGAGTTCTGCTTACTCATATTGAGCAGCTGCATGAAGGCTTGCCCCACACAGTTGTGTAAGGAGCTAATTATGGTTCTGTAATTAGCCATGTGGAAGGACAGGCTGAGGAGGGAAGCACTGCAACAGCAGGCACAGAGAGGTCCCCGAGCCACAGCCACCAAACAGTTGGGCGAGCAGATAGCTTAGTCTGTTAGATGGGATCAGAGTAGGGATCAGATTCATAGGGAAGGAAATAACCAAATTAAATGAGTCACAGCATAAAAAATACACGCATTGGTTGGACTACTAGATAGGAGAGCTAATTGGACATAGTAATTATATTACTGTGGGGGAGGGTCCAGAAATAGGTATTCAAGCAGTGAGTTTTAGACAGCTTTTGCAATTTCTCCTTTTTTCTGTTTTAGCAGATACAACAAACCAGACTGCATTTGTTTATACACACATCCTGACTGAGGTGTATATTTATTTTTATGCCAAGAGAACATTTGTAAACGTGACAAGAACATTTGATGGGTTACTAAATCGAAAAGGAAATGCATTCTTAAATTACTTCTTCGGTCCTGAAAACAATTTGCAAGCAAATATCCTGTTCTCCAGAGAGGGAACTCATTAACCATCATAACAGCCTTGCATATGTTTGGAACAAGAGTCCTTGAAACAGAAAAACGATTGCAAACAACTGTCCTGTGAGGTCTGTTAGGAGGGCAACGGTAACCCCTCCCAACTGCAACTCCATCCACTTCTCTTAGCCTACAAATGAAAAAGCAAATATCCATGGGCATACCAGAGAGGACTGACAGATCCCAAACAACTGGCCTCCAAGTCCTCCCATTTATCCTGTGGGGAAACCAGCTAATGGAGCCAGAGTACTTTACCCTCAATAGCCAAGAGATAATTAGGTTGGCAACTGATTGCTTTTGTGTCAATGAAACTAAGAAATTGATGGAGTTGCCTTTCCACAACTTTCCTAATGATCTTCTTGAAATGGCAGGTGGGTCAAATCAGCAGCCAGCTAGGTTGCTAGCATCAAGTAGTTTCCAAGTGCTGGCACACAGACTTTTTGTTCATGGAGCTTGTGTGCTTTGGATCCTGTAGGATCCCTGTGAAGAAGACAGACACCCTTGCACAACACTACAACTACGCACAACCATCTTGGAGAGATTCAACGGTTTACCAGTCTTCAAAAGTAAGAGGACATACAGAAAAAATTTTCCAGTGCAAGTAGGAAAAGGCAAGGAAAAGAAATCGTTGAGCATATGTCAGTATGCAAACTGTAAGCATCCACTGGTCCCTTCGCCCCAGCGATGTTACACAGGGAATGCAGCGCACTGCACAGTTCCCTGGCTGCGTTAGCTGTGCAGCATCTGGCAGCTCCTGAGAAATCACTGTTTGTCCTGCAAAACCCATCTTGAGCTTTAATTGTGAAAAAACACTGGAGTCCTCTATGTTAAAGGTACAAAGGAAATGTTGCTTCTAATCAGAAAGCAAGAGTAATTTATGATGTCGAATTTGTACCTCATTTTTTAAAATTGCTTGCTGAAGTGACATAGAATACTTTTGTCTAAATCCCACAATTCACTGAAAAATGGGAGTTATGAAAGTGTATCCTATTACAAGAGGTTTGAAGGGAAGAACAAGTACACAAAACAGTTGTGATTCCTCATAGTTTAAGATTATGTAAAACAGGACAATTCTGATGGCTTCTGCTGACAAATAACACATGGGGAGTTTAATCCTACTCTTAGTTGGGTGAAAGAGCAAATGCCAACTGTTTTCAGTGGGAACTGGCTCGGATCTTCCCTGGCCACAATGTGAAAGACAATTTTAAAGTTCTTGTGCATTTTCCCAAGAAACCAGATTTCCACGGACCGTCCTACTCTTATGAAAATATTTGATCAGAGATCATATTCAGTACCTCAGATGCGTTTTTCATGCATATGGAAACAATTGTAATCATCATTCACTCTCTTTAAGTCAAAGACTTTTGACAACTAAAAGATCATCTTTTTAAAGCCTTTTGAAAGCTTAATGCAAATCATTCACAGACCTTTGAGGATTTTGGGGGCAGGGGGTGAGGAAGCAGAGATGACTGAAGGTCACCAGGACACCACGTACCAATGACTGCTTGCAGGCTGCAGCCGATAGGGTTTTGAAAATTGCTTAGCTTGTTGAATAGAGAGGCTGTGGCTGAACAATTACCATCTCGCCTAAGTCAGCCCATGTACCTGAAGCAGCACTCTCCTCAGCCAGAGAGGGATCAGCCAGGACAAAAACCCAGGGATTTCTCTGTTCTCTGAGGCATTTTTAAAATACCGTTCTTGGAGGCAAGAGACCCTCAGGCTTCCAGAGTAATCACTTTTCTCTGACAGGCAGACAATACCCTTGTTATCAGAATGGGCAAACCCTTTCCTTTGCTCTGAATTTGTATGAAATTGATATGGGGGCCTATTTCAAACAGATAATGCCATTCGCTTACATTTATTTGTTACAAAAGCTTGCTAATGGAAGAAGAAAGGAATTTTGTCTAAATAAATGACACCAGAGGGGCATACAACCTCATGGTGATGCATAGTTACCTGCATCATTTTTAGTATAGATTATAGATGGATATGCTAATTTCTCATTTAACACTTGGTATGCCAGATCCTTATCTGCAGTAAATGAAAGTAGCTAGAGAGACCATGTGAGAAATCTAGGTCAATTCATTTGTGTTACAAAATATGGAGTTCAGTGTTTTCAAACTCCATCCACAAATATACTAATGGCCTCATTTTGTGATCAGTATAGGAGAGGACAACAATGACAGCATAGGTCCTCATAAAGTCAGGCAAATCATCTGAAGATCTAACCTGGCATTTTTTTCCTCCTCTTTGTTAGAGACTTTAGGTTTGGTCTCGCCCTATTGTGAATTAGTCCCCTGAAACTGAAAGGAGACTAGCATGCAGTGAGCAAGTGTTTTGCTCAGCAGTAGCTGTTTGCGGGATTGTGCTCCTGCTCATTACCTGATAATAGCCTATGGATATTGAACCCTTTGGACTAGTTTTCTGTACAGCAGGGGGAAACGTACACATGAGCACATATACACACAGGCACATTTTGTAAGGAGACTCACCACTGCTAGAAGCATCGTTGAGATTTAGCAGCCCACCTCCGAGCCCTCTGTAACTATGGTAACTGTAGGTCCCATTGCCATTGATGTACAACACCTCCTGTGTGCTGGAAACAGCTGATGTTGAGTAAGTGACCTGGGCTGGCTCCTGTTTGTACTGCTTGTCAGCTGGAGCAGCCTCGTCCTGCAAAAACAAGGAAAGGTTTTGAATTATTGTTACATTTTACCTTGCACGAAAGGGTCTTTTCCATTGCTAAGACTCCACATCTATTGCTTTTGGAAAAGGGTAATACATGTTAAACAAGCACAAATGTGTTTCTGATTGACCAAATATCAGCTGAAAAGAAACAATGGAAATAAGCAAGAACACAGGTTTCCTACAGATCTGAGAATATTCATTTATTTGTGCTCCACAAGCCAACCATACTGTTTCTCAAAGGGGAAGATGCATCCTTTCACCCTGAAGAGCTCACAGCTGCCTGCAGAACCCAACTGTTCAGAAATAGTGTGGGAAAGGACAGAAAAAACCCATTACTTTCTGAGAACAGGAGTGACTTTTCTGAGCCAGAGAATCATATCTTTCTCACTAAGACAAACCAATATAGAATGCACCAACTACTTATTTTGATGTATCGGCTTCCAAAATGACAGAAGGAACAGAGGAATGGAATAAAACAACATTTCCTATGTTTGCAGAGGGCTGAGTGAGTGTCCATCCACACAAGGGCCAAGTGGTAAGGATGCCCCTACAAACATGACTTGAAAGCATTTGTAACCTGTGTAGGAGCAGAGACTCTTTGTATACTGAGTTGCCTGTTTGTTTCAATGTGCCCCCCTTGCCTCTTAGATGCTTCCGTAATATTAAACAGGGTTTAGCACAACAGCCCTCTGATTTTCCCCTAAAGGAGATCATGTTTCAGGTGAAAGTGTATTTTTTCCCATCTGCACTTACAGTAGCTACTGCTTAGAGCACCTCACCTCCACTCATGATCACAGAATGTCCCCGTGGCAACTTTAGTAATGACACAGGTGAAAAAAAGAAAAGCATTAAGAGAAGATTTAATGTGTTTTAGTAGTTAGAAACAAGGAAAACTATCAGTGTGTGACTGCTCAGCCCACCACAGGGACCTGAGAGCCAGAATTTCTGATTTAGTCTGCAAATGTACTTGAACTTTTTCTTTGTTTCTTTTAACTTGTAGACTTTCTTTGTGGGCCTGATTTTACACTCTAATCTGATATATACTCTAATATATTTCAGTGATTTCAAATAAAATGGGTCTATGGGAGATCAGTATTTAAAAAAATAGAGGTGAGAATGTTTGCAGACCTTTCCGAGTAGCTACCTGAAAAATGATCTATTAGAATTCTCTCCCCTTTGTGTAAGATTTTGTCCATTTTATGCCTCTCTCTTCTTCACAATCTTTTAATGGTTTCTAAATACACAAAACTTATTGAGGATGCTATAAAATATCTCAAACCTTTTATACAGTGTTTACTTAAAAATAAGAATGTATATACCAGCACAGAGGGATCAAATAGTTAAAACAGCATCCAGTCTCTGTGTTGAAGAAAAAAGTGTTCTGAAGCAGCTTTCCTGTCTGCATTAGGAACAACTGTCGGTTCCACCTCTCAAAGATGACACTACCAACTTTTCTGAGATGAAGATATCCCTGTCTTTTAGATATTTATTGGTGAAAGAGACTTGGGCAAAACTGAGATGACTCAGGAGAAGGAATATATATATTATTAACAGAAATTTTAATATTTAATACAGAACACTGAACCATCAGATAATTAATTCCATAAACAATCAGAATGGGACCTCTTGGGCTCTAATATGAGCTGAGGCAAAGCTCTGCATTTGTACGGGCATTGGCCAAACTGGTCTCCTATGCATTTTCTTAAGTAATAATAGGCTTAAAGAAAGGGCCAAAATTGCAATGCATTTTTGCCAGGAATTCAACTTTAATATCATTTACCTTTTCTCTTCAAAGGCCATTGCTGTCTCTTATAAGAGAAAATGTATTATTTTATCAGAGAAAATATTCATAAGCTATACAGTAAAGTTCTATCTTGGCAACAAAGCTTAACTCATCGTCCAAATCTTTAAGACTCTCAAGGCTAAAATGTTCTGTATCCTTATGTCTAAAACTAGATGATACTTCCTGCCATAGACTCACACCGAGCCTCATTTTATTGTCACAAAGATCAGTAAGGGATCTTCTGCAAATTTATCAAGGACTGGACTGCATTCAAGGGGCACAGTGCAAAGGGGACTAACTCCTATAGCTGAGCAGAGTATCTCAGGGCCTGTCTCCTTATCCTGATTGTCTGGAACACACAAATTTGCTATCCCTGATTCACATATCCTCCAGAGCCCCTCTAGTCAGTGCACTGAAAACCTAACTGTGAGTTTCTTGCAGAGCACAGCAAGCGGAGCCTGTCCTGAGGGCACGGCAAGAGCACTTGGTGCGTACCAGCCCATGAGTTAGAGCACATGGCCAAGAAGTGGGAGACCCGAGTTCTGGCTCCTTGTTGCAATACATGGTGAAGAGGCGGCAAATTTGGGATGCAAGGTCTTTGCTAGCAGTGGTGAGGAGGAGACCTGAACTCAGAGCTGCCATCTCCTAGCAACCAGGCTCAAAGTAAAGCTGCAGTGGGAGTCGTAGCTGAAGCTGTGCCACTGTGTGGAAGGAAATGCACAATTCATAGGGTTACAGATAGCAAACAAAAAGGGAGCATGACTCAGTTCCCTTTCAGAGAAGTGCTGCCCTGGGAGGCTTCCAGCCCTGCTCTCTTCCAGCTACGCCCTAACACAAAACTCACAAACTACTCTGAAGTCAGGAATCCAAGGCTGGGGCTGTGCTGCCGAAGGGGGATCTTTGTGCTGAACTAATCGCAGCCCTGTGCAACGCCGTGACATGCCATGGGCTGGGGCTTGAGGTGGAGCTCCGGCATCCTGGTGGGGAAGGCACTCCTGGGGGGGGTGAAAGGGGTTGAGGAGGATGCTGAGCCGAGGACTCCTGGTTCTGCATATGAGCTTTAACCTCTCAGCCACTATACAAAAGGTGGTTTCCTCTAAATATTGCATATATTTTTAAAAAGCAGACCAATCACTTGTACCTAAATAATGAATAAGTTGCCATACATTTCAGATCTGAAATCTGGGCCTCATCTAAGTGCTTAGCCCAGTGCTTCAGGATGACTAAATGCAGAAGCAGGGTAGGATTTGTGGCGAGCATTTTCTGAGCAGGCTCAGGTGTTGGCCCTGCTGGTAGGATTATGAACCATTAGTCTGGTCACAGGGGGTTAGGTGTTACCTCTTATACATTCCCCTAGGATTTAAGCATTTTTCAGAAATGTTTTGTATGTCAAAAGGCAAAACTGTGTGCTTTTTCCTTGCAGACCCACCAAGGACAAAGAAGCCAGGCTCTCTTTTTCTTGGGGAGAGATAACATGAATATCGTATTTACTTTTGTGTACCTGAGATTTATTCTGCACAGATTCATTCTCTTCTTTCTTTTCATCTTAATTGCCTTTGATTTTAAACTCATGCAGAAATTAAACAGTGTTGTTCCAGAACTGAGATTTTTTTAATATCCTGTGTTAATTGTACAGCAGTTCTTGTTTCCCCCTATATTATGTTTACACTGAAAAGGCTTAATAATTTATTTTAAATGTTATTTAAAAAATATTTTAATTTCATAATAATCAGTAACAATTAACTAACCATTTATTAATACGTTTGACCTAACTACCTGCTCTGACTGATATGCTGAGCAGCTAATGAATAGTTTAAAAGGAAATACAATCCACAGCAACAGAGAAGCCAGTGGAGCATGGCATGACTGTGGTACAAAGAACCAGGCTCACCAGCAGCGTCCCAGCTTCCTGTTCCCCATGCCAGCGGAGGCACAGCATACACATATTTTTTCAAAAAGTCTGTCCTTCAGAATCAACTGGAATCAACTATAATGATGCCATTGCTGTTTTCTATTCCCCATCTCCTTCACCACCACCAAAATAATATAAAAAAGTAATAGCTTGTTCAAATAAAAAGCCCAGGGTAATTCTGTGCTACACTAAGTTTTGATCTCATATATATACAAGTGTCAGAAATTCCACGTATTCCCATTAAGAGAGAGCATCGCTATTGCCTTGGCTCCGCTGTTAGCAATAAGCATTGCTACCATGTAAATGTAAATCCCAAAGGGGAGTGTGTATGCAGACCAACTCATGTGGACAATGCTAGCTGACCATGAAGCTAACAAAACTTCTGCAACAAGAATATGAATTATAATGTTCCAAAAATGGTAAAGATGGTCACATTTATTTAACTACTGCTTTCATGAAATGCAGTGTCTACCAGACCGACAAATTAACAACTCCGAGAATGCCAGCTTTTAACTGTCCCTATGGCAAGGTGATTTTTTCCCACTCAATTAGAAAAGAGAAAAAAAGACAAACACATTTTTGCCTCATGTTTCTCGATACTTTCTTTTTTGATGTGTTGAACTGAAAAATGTGGATTGCTTGTTGTTCTTGTCAATAAGCACTTCTCTTAGTATACCACTTTGAGGTTAGGAAAACTCAAATGCAGATTAGTCTTCAAACAGATAGACAAGCCAGGGACCCAATATTTGCATATGGTCTCCCATTTTTTCAGTGAAGGAAAAAAAAATTTATTCACATGAAAAAACAAAACATGCTTTCATGTGCTTTATTTTTTTTTTAGCCTCAATAGCTTGTAGCATGGCTTTAGAAGAAAGGAGATAATGTTTCATATATTTTTCCCATTTAGAACTCACCAATTTATTGCTATGATTTTTGAATCAAAAATAAAATAAATAGAAACACATGATAAAACTGTGTAGCACTTTTCAAAGCATACCCAATTAATCCTCACAATACTCCTGTTAGATAGGACTTTTATCACTGCTTTTCAGATGGTGAGATTCTGGCAGCAAAGGCAACCTTAAGCTAGCATTACCTAATATGTAAGCGCTTCAGTTCTGCAACCATAACAACATAACCAGCTTCTCTTTGTGTAAATTAATTTTTAAAATAATGGGAAGAAACTCAGAAGTTCCATCATGGAACTGCTGAATTTGCAGGGGGCGTCTCAGCTCCTGCGCAGAGAAGCAGCTTCCAGGGTAAGGGGCCATCATCGTCTGCGTGGAGCAA